ATAAACAAAGTAAACATTGTAAATAACAAAACAAAGTTTGTAATAATTATCAAATCGATGAAATCACGTCTTCCATAAAACTAGAGAAACAAAATCAGAACAAAATCAGAACAAAACGATATTTTCAATTGTTTTCAACAATTAATACGAGATTTTAAATGTAGATCAACTGAAACAAAGCACAAACAAAGTCAACATTCCTAATAAGAAAACAACATTTTTCAGTTGTTTTTCTTTTAAATAATTAATACGAGAGTTTGGATACGAAAATTTACAATTTTTTTTTGATGAAATCATGTCTTCTCTAAAACAATATACAAATAATCAAAGTAAACATTGTAAATAACAAAACAAAGTTTGTAATAATTTGACGAAATCGTGTCGTGCCATGAAAGGAGTGAAACAAAGTTAATACAAATAAGAAACAAAGTCAACGTTGCTAAAAACAAAACAAAAAAGCATTACGCAATTGTTTTTTAACAAATTAATATGACAGTTTAGATACGATGTTTGGGTTTTTTTGATGAAATCACGTCTTCCCTAAAACAATCGAAACTAAATCAAAACGACGTCAGCATTGCAAATAACTAAAATAACATTTCGGCAATTGTTTTTCTTTTGCTCATTTCATTAACTTTCGTATTAATTAGTTTATTAAATGAGAAAAAATTTAGAAGATTTGAACATCTTATTTGTATTTAAAGAAACAGAATTCGTTATGAAAGTTCGTAATAATTTACAATTAACAAATTGATGAAATCACGTCTTCCATGAAACAAAAGAAACAAAGTGAAAAACGACATTTTGCATTTGTTTTTAACAATTACTACTAGATTTTAAATGTAGAACATTGGTGATAGAATCAGTCTTCCTTAAAACAATTGAAACAAAGTCAGAATGTAACAAAGCATAAACAAAGTCAAGATTGCTAATAACAAAACAACATTTTTCAGTTGTTTTTTTTTTAAATAATTGATACGAGAATTTGGATACGAACATTTATGATGAAATCACGTCTTCCCTAAAACAATATACAAATAAACAAAGTAAACATTGTAAATAATAAAAAACAAAGTTTGTAATAATTAACAAATTTGACGAAATCGTGTCGTGCCATGAAAGGAGTGAAACAAAGTTAATACAAATAAGAAACAAAGTCAACATTGCTAAAAACAAAACAAAAAAGCATTACGCAATTGTTTTTAACAATTAATATGACAGTTTAGATACGAGTATTTAGATGATTGGGATTTTTTGATGAAATCACGTCTTCCCTAAAACAATATACAAATAAACAAAGTAAACATTGTAAATAACAAAACAAAGTTTGTAATAATTATCAAATCGATGAAATCACGTCTTCCATAAAACAAGAGAAACAAAGTCAGAACAAAGTTAAAACAAAGTCAACATTGCTAATAACAAAAACGACATTTTGCAATTGTTTTTTTTAACAATTACTACTAGATTTTAAATGTAGAACATTTATGATAAAATCAGCCTTCCCTAAAACAACTGAAACAAAGTCGGAATAAAACAAAGCACAAACAAAGTCAACATTGCTAATAACAAAACAACAATTTTCCAATTGTTTTTTTAATAAAATATTGTGAAAGTTTGGACATTTGAATGAAATCGCAAGAACTTTGATAGAATTTACAATATTTGAGCAATGACGTAACGGATATTTCGAGCAGAAGTTCTCCCCCTTTCTGCTCGGAATACAAAACTGCGATGACTTCAGCTCTTTTCTCTCTCGAGTGATTAATGAATCATGTAAAGAAATGGGGCGCATCCGACCCACAAATAAAATGATTAATTTCAATCCATTTACATCACGAATTTTATTCTCAACTTAACAACAAAACGTAACTTATTTCCTTACCATCACCACATGTTTCGTATACGTAAACGTATTCAGAGGGAAAAACCAGAAAATCAGCCGCAACGTGAAACTAGTTGCAATTGCTTTCTTACTAGAACTACCATTAACACAGATATTGCACACTTATGGCTGGAAAAAGAATATGAAACTAATATTTCAACTGGACGGAAATAACGTAAAAATGTTATATTTGTGAGTTGATTACGAACATAAACATGCTCGCTGGAATCACCTGCAGTTGAACTTTGACCTGAGGGTAAAACTTATTACAGAGAATTATTTCTGTTCGTAATATAACACAATTTGTAAACTATGATTCTTTCTCTGTATACACAATAAAATTATAATAGGATATTGAATAACTACGTACGAATTTGTTTAAGAAAGCGATTATGACCAGATTCAGTTATATAAATCGTCTACGTAACTAAAACTATACAACAACAACAACATTTAACAACAACAACAACAACGTTAGAAAAAAAAATGGAATTGGCAAACAAAATAAATGATTCATCAACAGCGAAGAACCAAACCCAAGTTTCTAGGGATTTTTTTTTTTTACGATGGGGGAAAATTGAATGAGTTTTGTAGCAAAGGGGGAATGATGTAATTTAGCAAACTTTTTCCTTCTTTCTCTATTCAATTTTTTGGGTACGAATTGATGTCGAAACGTGAGCAGTCCGTTTTTTCCCAATGTGTATTTGAGAACGGCGCGAAACGAACTCCAGTTTACGTCATCAAGATCATTTTAATTTGTCCTACTGCCAGGACATTCACCCACAAATATATATATATATGTAGAAGGCTGAGGAAAAGAGCGGCACGAGTCGAGGCGGGAAAGACCGATTCGTTTACTCGGTAGTTTCGCTCAAACAATAATAGCAATTGTAAACAGAGCAAGAAGTAAATACGATGATTACGATGATGATCATCATCAACGAAATGAGCGTGTAAATACGAGCGGTTTAGTGTAGATTACGAAATCGATTGAACAAGACTCCATCTCTGATGCGTTCAGTATCTAGGACTCTCAATTGTTTCAATACATTCGAAGATTCATACACACTCTTGATTTATTTGTTAGATTTATAACGAAGAAACTTTAACTTTTTCCAATCATTAACATTTTCATTGTATGATTCTTGTTAATTTTCTTATTTCTTAAGCACTGAGGGTTGTAAAATGAGCTGAGTTTACTAATTCGTGGATTGAGAAAGGCAATGGAGAGTAGTAGTGTGATTGAGGCCGCTTCTGGAAAAACGAAAGTTAACGTAACGTAAGCGTATCTGCATTGGCGAAGTGCATGCATTTATTTATTACCTGTGCACTCTCTCTCTCTTTCTCTCTCTTGCTCACTCACTCACTCAAACGTATTTATATTGAATTCTGCAACTAGTGTGCCAGCGTTTTAATATATTAAGACATTTGGCAACAGGCGATTGGATAACGGCGCGCGTTTCTCAATGAAGAAAGAACTGCGGCGGCTCTGACGCGAAATTCTTGAATGGATGCAAGAACACTTAACTTTTGCGACACTCGACTGTAAATAATATAACTATTCACTCGGATGTCCTCAAAAAAAATAATAAAAAATTGATCGAATTTCGATCGCAGTTACATGGTTATACGTCAACATTGATAAGCGTATTTGGTTACTATGGTTATCCAGAATAACAGAACGAAAATGATGATCATTTAAGAGTGTACAAATTATGCGTCACCATGGTTATCAATACACCAAATAACATCAGTTTTCACTTAGTTACTATGGTTATTAATTGATGCTTTGAATAGAATGAAATGTTACCGACGGACAAAAAGAAAACAATTGAATTAAGTCATTATTAAATTCGACTTGGTTTCTATGGTTTTAAACATACAAATAAAAAACAAATAATTCGAGTAGAAACCAACGCATTTCTCTAAATGAATCAAGTTATTATTATTATTAAATTTGTCGCAGCTTTTGTTTCGTTCAAAAAAAAACAACAAAAGTGAAGTTCAATTACACGGCGCGAATGAAACAAATGAACGTAACTGTAGCTTGTTTGATTATTATTATTATTATTATTACGATGCGTGTGACCGGAATTAAGTCAACTTTACATTTTGAAGACACACTGAAATTAATTTTATGGAAACAACAAAAAAATGTTGAAGAGTTATTATGTTCGTCTTTAAGACGTTGCAATAGACATCCTTGGACAACTTATCACAAGTTGCACAATTCTGTACGAGTTAATTCTCTTTTAGGAAACATCTTGCTGTAGAAGCAATAGATAACGTAATAGTTGGTATTACTAATTGTTGTAATGGAAATGGGTGTTAATAATCATGTAACGGTGTGAAGTTTGAATAGTGAAATTGCTTTATATAATGATTCGCGGTGGCAATTAAAAGCGAAGAAGAAGGAGGAGGAGGCAAAAACACAACAATGCAGAAGAAAAGTGAAATTTCTTTAGAGAAAGAGAAGTTCGTCGTGTGGAACAGAGGAGAAAGAGAGTGAAAGCGGTCCATGATGGGTCTTTCCATCCATCCGAACTAGAAGAATTTTTGTACAAGAAAAAAGCGAAAGTTCCGAGAGTCTCTCTCGCACTCTGCGTATCCGTCCATCTCTGTTCGATTCATATCCAACCGTCGAGGATATATCAGAGCCCCAGGTAGGTAGTAGGTATATGCGAGTGCGCTGACCCGCGAAGGAACTGAGTTAGTGGGTCAGGCTGTACACAAGCACTCACTCAAACACTCTCGCTGCGCGAAGTTGTATCGCACATCGTGTGTGTTTGTGCTCTCTGGCTCGCTCGCTCCACGCTCGCATAACCGATCGAGTCTCTCCCGTTCGGCGCTGCAAGACCATTAACTATACCTACTACTACTACCACACGCAGAGTCCGAAAACTTTTCCTTTTCGTTTCGTTTCTCTTCTCACTCCGCAAACTACTTCTACTTTTATTGTCGTTTTTGCCTTCTGCGAGGCATCCTCGGTCGGCATCGTCGTTACTGTTATTGTTGTTGTTATCATCATGTGCTGCGAAGACGTTTGACGACTACAAGAAGTGCGGCCTTTGTTGTTATTTGTTATTGATCATCGACGTGAACATCGTCAACTGCAATCAAATAAAAGGACATGACTGTGAACGAGTACAGAGAGACGGCGTGCGCGACGGCCACCAGCGGAGGACCCATGGAGGAAACGGCCGGGGAGAACCTGCTGCAGGGAACGCCGCCGCCGCAGGACAACAGCGAGAATCTTCTCGGACGAGTTTTGGCAGGTAATTGATCGACAAGAGCTGGATTTTTTTTTTGCACGCTTTTGACCCAGGTCAGGTCTCGGGAATAGATCTAGTCGTTCGCGTTAGCAATTCTTTTTTTTTAATTTAAAACATAATACATACTTTTAACATCATGATCATCATCATCGTCATCTGTAGCGCGGATCCGCGTGAAAGTCTCGCAGCAGGGGGCGACGGTTTTCACTTTCGTGCGAACGGGTCGGATCTAGGGCGGCGCGTACCCAGGTGGAGGCTAGTTCATTGCACCTCGGCCTTCTACCACAGCCACCTCCATTTCCATCGGTGTCTCTCTATCTCTCTCTCTCTGTCACACTCTCTCTTGATTCTTCATAAAGCGAGCGAGTGAGCGAGTGAGAGCATGAGGTTTAAAGATCCGTGTCAGAGGATTGCGTTCTCGCGTCGGGTGCACGGGGCCCGGGTCCCTCGCGGATCCGAACGAGGTCAGCGGCCGCCCGTCGCGAGGCTAGTTCGTTCACCCGGTTCGTGTGTGCGCCGGCCAAGCTGCCTGAATCTGGGGCAAGATGAAATTAAATGGAGGTTGAGCGCTCTCACACACACACACAACACACATCTATAAGTTATTCATGCACATATGTAGATGTTAGTGTGTACGAAGTTGTGCGAAAACAGCACACACTCACACACATGCCTAGGTTGCGCCAATGGTTGTTAAGATCGCCATGCCTTCGCCGCCTCCCCACCAAACAACCTCGAGAGTTCAACGCTCGCCGACCGCTAAATAGGTTACCTGCCCGTCCCCGGACTCCACTCGCGTTTTATGCACATACCTCATTATCGCAATCGCACTCTCCATAAAACATTATCTCTCACTCCTTCCTTCTTACACACCATCATCATCATCATCATCTATCTCGGATCCACGCAAGATTTTATTCGCGATCTCCTCCAAAATATATATAAGAAAAATAAAAAATAAAAATACTCCTTATCAAATCCTTATTATTAATATAACGCGATAACAAGAGGGTCCAACAACCTCTTATCAACCCGTTACATCATGGCTTGCCTAAAAATTCTTATTTTACAAAACGCAAGCGAAAAAGTGAAACCGACACTTCTCCTCTCTCCACTGTACATAATATACACAACACTTGCACCTCTTTTCGGAGCGAACGAACGCGCTGGGACTTTCTCTACGCGTGCGAAATTGCTCGCTGTCGCAAATAAATAAATAAATAAAAAACCGAAAAGAACAACAACTACAGCAAACAAACGAAAAGTGAAAATGGTCGACGTGCGTCCGCATACATTAGAAACCGCGATTCACTGTAAAATTGCAAGTCGATTCGAATGAAAAAGTTAAGCAACCCACGATGGGTTAACAATTGCCAACTTAGAAATGATAAAATGAATTCGTAGAGAAACAAACAAACGATTGCAACTTCCAATTGGCAAATAAGAGATGTCATCAAATTTTCTTTCTTTCGTATGATGAATGCTAACTATTAGAGGCGCGTTAGTAAGTAATACTCTTGCTTTCTTTCGAAACGTTAACGTTGGTAGGATTGGAGTTGAGAATCTTAAATGGTTCCTTCCGGGACCCATCTAGAATTGGTGATCGAGCACGTATATAAGATACATCTATATGTGAGAAACAAACAAAAAAAAAAATAGTGAAGTAACTTCAATGTATAAATAGATAAAACTGACATTGGATTACGGGCTGAGATTAGAGCGGGAGAGATGTATGTGTGTACAAGAGGAGTTCGATGGAATGATGATGTGTGCGTGCGAGTGAAAGAGAGAGGAGAGCGTTCATCGAGAGTGAGTGAAACTCTCGAGGTGAAATGAGCCTTCGGCCTCAAAAACAACCGAGAGAGGCAATGGCCTAGCCTCGCTGAGGGTGCCGATTGACCTCGATTGCGGATCGTTCGCGAACCGGTCGACGAGGCTTCGTCGGACTCGACGACCCCGAGAGGCAACGAGTGCAACGAACTAGCCTCGACTGAGGGGACCCGTGACCTGGTTTCCCCTGCTCGCATCTACACATGCCACAGACAAGGACCCACCGAGCACCCGACGAGAGACCACACACACAATACATCGCCTATCCACTTGTCCCACATAACTACACACACGCGAAAAATAAAAAAAATCATCATCAAGGGCATTTCACCCTGCACCTCCACCACACATCATCATCATCATCGAAAACATTGTGAGCGTAGCACCGAAGAAAGTGTTTTCTTTCGGACGATAGTGAAAGCGTAGAGAGTGCGTGACGAAGACGACGATGATGATGATGATAATGGGAAAGTGAAGAGAAAGAAGAGAGCGTTTGTCCTCCTTCTGACCGACACCGAAATCCGATCGGCAGACGAGCGCGCGACCAAAGAAAAACTCTTACTTTCCACCAGTCCGACTGCATTTCTCGCCGCAATCGAGATCATTACGACACCTCCTTACTACTACTACTACTACCACTCTTGCATCTTCGACGATGCACACAATTGCGCAACGAAAGAAAGTCTTCTGCATGCACGCATCGATTTATACGTTTTACGCTATCAATCAAGTTTTAAAAACTAAATAACATTTGCATTGAAATAACTTTCACATCAAAACACACAAAAATTATCATCGTGAAGAAATTGCGCATGGAAATCCTTAAGCAATGCTAATAATAGAAAATGTGGGCAACAATTGTTGTTGCTCTTTGAAATGTGTGTGTTCATGTGCGCGCATAACCTTCTGCAGATGATGATTGTGGGCGTTTGTAAAATGTGTATATATATTTTTTATGTCCCGATTCGAAAGAGGGAGAAAAAACCGTCGGGTTCATTTGGGTTTGACGGCCTCTGTTGCGGATCAGGGGGATGAGCGTGCGCGAGGGGGGGGGAGCAGTAAAATGTTGCCTTCAGCAGGAATTTCGTACGTAGAGGATGTGGTGTGCGAGTGTTTGCAAATAAAATCGCGCCGCTGAAATGGGCTTCATTCAGTTTTCCCACGCAAACTACCGTAAGCCGTGGAGGCACTAACACCGCGCTCAAACGAACGAACGACCAACAACCTACCTACCTTCCTTCCCTCCGAAAGAGAGACCAACAGCAGGATCACACTCACATGCTGCTGCTGCGGAAGGACGATGCACTTGATGACCCGGTCGGGTCGAAGCGAAGTGCATTACACTCTCGTAACCTGCATGTCCTCCTCCTTCTCCTCCTCCTGCCGCTGCTAAACTCAGATTCCGCACGTCCATAAAATGCGATGATGATGGGCAAGAAGAAGTAGACTAACAAAAAAAATCAGTCGTTTATAAATATGAATGTGTGCAAACTTCACTTCACGTGGAAGCTTTGCGAAAAAAACTATCCGTCTATCAATTCATCTATGTAACTATTCTATACGTATATATAAATATATTGTTTTCGAATGAGCGTTTGGCGTACGTGTGTATGTGTAATTATTGTTGCATAACGAAATAGTTATATGCGAGGCGAGTGACCCAGATCGGCGCGACCTCGCTCACAGTTTAGGTGAATAACCTACCGACCTCACACCGCCACCCTCTTCGCGACGCGCGCGCCCCGACGCCCGCCTCTCATCTATTTATATACCTTATTCCTTCCCTGCTCTGCTCTGCTCTGCATGCCCTCAATCGCAAACCTCAAAATTATCATCCAGCAACTTCTTCTCATCATCATCATCAGCATGATCATCTTTCTTCTCCCTTCATCTTACACCATCCTGCTGTTGCTGCCACCGCCGCCTTCGTTGCTTGCTGCTGCTGCTGCTGCCGTTGGAACGTTCGAGATCGTTTGCTTAATGCGGCCCTGGGATTTGCGTAATGCACAATCGAGAGTTCGGCCCAGATAATCATTGGGTCGACGGCCGCCATCGCGGTCAAGACTCCCGAGACTCGACTACATTCTAGAGATTCTACACTACACCCGACCCAACTCCACTGCTGCAGCAGCCATTTTGCATAAATGCACTCGCCCCATCATCATCAACATCATTACAATCCATCAAATCTGCAACCAAAAAAAAATATAAATCACAATTACAATTGTGCAATTAGCAATTAGTTTAACTTAACAATAAAATCGCAAAAACGAACACCAACTTGAAACGAAAAGAATTAAGTGGAAACTTATGATTATCATAAAAGAATCCTATTTTTAATTTTTGCACGAATGCAAAGGCGATTGTTGCACCAGCTGCTTGCTTATGCAGTTACCCGGCGTTCACATAGGTTGCTTGGTAGAACGGTAAATTGCGCACACGTTTCGCTACGTAACGTGACGTAACGTTTTTGTTTTGTCAATATTGCGCGCAGCAACTAATTATACATTATCATTATTATTTAATTGTCATTCAAAAAAAGAAAAAAAAATGTTAGGTAACATAGGAAAATCCCCGCACAGTTCGAATCGTTATGGAAATCGATACGTCCCAATTTCGTTGTTACAATATGTACAAGGTGGCGCAAAAGTAATGTCATAATTTGAATTGGCTGCCATTTTTTTGAAGATGGCGCCAAACGTCACCGTGCTTTGACATTTACGATGTTGATATATTGTGAATTAGTTGTCAACAAAACATGGAGCGATACACACCTGAAGAACGTGGATTTATTGTTACTAACGCGTTTACTACCACAACAAACCACGAATCTTGAAAGCTAATATCGAGGAAGAATCATGACATTATTTTTGACGTACACGAAGAAAGTCTGCGGTCATTGGCTCGTGACAATGCTCAATGGAAATTGACATTATTTTTTTTTTTTGGCGATAATTAATTTTACTCACATTTCAAAGATCTCGTAGAAAATATATTTCGGCTGCAAACGCGCGTCTAATTGTGTAATATGTCTTTGTGCAACTGGGAAAGAGTCGAGAGAGAGAATGTGACGTTACGAAATCGCGATTGTTAATTCGACTAGGTTTTCACCCTAAACGATTATTACCAACATAATTTGTTTTTGCTGAACAACAACAATTACATGTCTAATC